TCTCTCTCTCTCTCTCTCTCTCTCTCTCTCTCTCTCTCTCTCTCTCTCTCTCCATCACTTTGATCGCTCCTTTTTTGTGGTTAACTGTGTTCTCATTGCTATCTCCCTGTCGTCACCACTTTTTAAACAAATCTAATAGTATTTCATACATACACTACACATAGAAAATACACTGTATTTCTCAAATATCTTAAATATACCTTTAATATTATACAAACGAATAATTGTTTGTTTTTGTAGGACATTATATACTGTACTTATAAATAGTATATTTAATAAGTTATTAAAACTCATACATTTAACAGCTATTTTTAGTGGTAAAAAATGTTATGTTACTAAATATACCGTATATTATAACTGTTGCGAGTATTATATGAATGTATGAAATATGTTTTAAGTCAACAAATTCTCACTCAATTAAAACAAATTTTTTGTTCGCTATAATAATAAGAATAGTATATTATATAAACATATCGTTAATTCACAGTCATTTCGTTTATATAATATATGAAAGCTATTATTACAGCAGCGAAAAAAATATTCACTTTCAATGCATAATATTCTGTGGCTTTAATTTTTTGCGATAATTTTCAAGTGATTTTTATTAGTGGGTTTTTAGTGCCATTTAGTGCAACACATTTCTCTCTCTCTCTTTCTTTCTCTCTCTCTCTCTCTCTCTCTCTCTCTCTCGCATTACATTAAAGTGAATTTTCATCGTCAGTAATTGGTTCCTGAAGTTTGGTTACGAGTTTGATCTCAATGTTTTCGCTGCGAAAGTCTTGTGGCGGTGGCGGCGATGGTGTGTGTGTTTGGTGTCGACTCCGCAGACACTCGCAGACACAGCGCTTGTCTGTATATAAACAGCGCCTGTAGTTGTCATTAATGTGTTGTCACGTTATTCTTAAAGGCTATACACGTTTATATTGCTCTACGAAAAGCAAATACTAGTATATAATTTAAATTACATAACTTTCATATATATTCCCATTGTTTTGTGTTGTTGTGTGTGTTTAGTACCGGAGTTAAGCATCAGTTTCTGTATAGTCATAGACACACTACTAAACACTTCTCTGGTTCTCTCTCTCTCTCTCTCTCTCTCTCTCTCTCTCTCTCCCATTCTGTCAACTGATTGGTTGCATAACAGGTGCACAAAATGTATTCACACTCATCTCTTCTATGGTAATGATTGCAAACGACAATAATATCAATAATTTTTATTAAATAGTTATTTTTATTTAATATAATACTATATATACACACATTTTTATCGTGACATCAATTGTCTATAAATAATTAAATGTTTAATATTTGCAAAAATGTGATGTGTTTTATATTTAAATAAAGTTTGCCATTTTATGTCTCAATTTAAAACTCTATTTTAAGTGTTTGCTATTTTTTAAGTTGAGAAATATGTGTTTCAATTACTGGTGAATTTTTTTTTGTCGAGAACTTGCAAATAATTCAATTATATGGCATATTGTGTGAAATATTCTGTAAAATAACATATATTGGGGAATGGGTTGTGAACACTGATATCAATGCTCACCACCACTATATGTAAGCTAACATTTCATATATAATGTTTGATTTCGATAGCAATCTATTATTTTTTTTATTATTTTACTATTTTGTGATATTTGCTAAACCAGAATATTCTGTATGTATGTCTCTAAGTGTGCGTTTGGCTTATATTTTCAATTATTTATTTGATGACTTAAAATTGTCGCAAATTATATAATGTTATCACTATTTTGTTGTGTAATGAAAAGTCATAGCATTTGAAGTTTTTATCTAATATAAGACATTAAACACATTCTCCGGGGGACGGGATTGCAAACAAACGGTCTGTACATACAGTATATGCACACATATTAATTGAATTGGTTTTCATGTGTATTTATTTTGCTCGGCTAACGTCCAAAAAAGTGTACTGTTTTTAATATACATTCCGTGTATACTATCACTCGATAACATAAACACTAAGATCTGTATATATTTTGTATATAATTTTCTACATTCACTATATTTCGCTCAAACGGTTCGCTCGAATCTATTGTACAGAATATAATCCCAACTCTCGGTTGTCTCATATGTTTTTGCTCTCGCTTTTCGTTCGCCACTTATTTTCACTGCTTATGAATCGCTAAACCATTGTTTGAATAGATGTTTAGCCTATTTATAAGAATTGTATTTACATTAATTCACTTATCATTTGCACAAAAAAGCAAATTTTAATGAATGTTTTTATTATAATTATTAACAGATTTGTTGGGCGAGAAAAAAACGTAATGAATGAGGAAATTATGCGTTGAGTGAAGACATCTGCCCAACGACTTGATATATAATGACTAAACGAACGATTAGTAGTAATGGTTTGAAGGACTTGACGACAAACGGCGACCAACCGGTTGTCGGCGGCGACGATAATGAGGACGAAGTGGACGAAGAGGCGGCTCTGGACGACACGGGCGAAGAGCAACTCAAGCCCATTAACTCGGATAACAGCAGTGCAGTGAATAAAGACAAGTCACGAGTGAAACGGCAGTCACTGATACTGCGGAGGGGCGACACCGACCTGAGTATTGACCACTCGGGTGTCCAGCGATTTTTGCCCACATGTATGCACTTTGCGTTCGCCGATCGCGACGCCGAGCGTCTATACCGCGAGTATTACGAGACTGAAAAGCGCAGTGACTTTAAGACATTGATAGTGATTGTGTTGATCGTAAATGTGGTGCTGTTTCTACTCTACTCGCTGTCCTATTCGTCGACACATTTGCCGCAAATGGCGGTATTGTTTGTGACATTCGCGCTGACACTGATAGGGCTGGTGTTGTGTGTGCAGCGAACTGAGCGAACTGTCACCTCTCGGCTCTGGACACTAATTCCGTTCATTCTATGGTCGGTACAAATCGCTCAGATATTCTGTGATGTTTGGATGTTCGCTGTGCCGGCGCTGCCCAGCGATTCCGTGGCGTTGATATTGCTTTACACGTACTCGGCGTACGTGATTTACCCGCTTAGGCTTCGCATCTGTAGTACTCTCGCCATTCTCATGGCTTTCATACACTTCCTATTCGTCACCATTGCTCCCAACCGACGACAAGAGATGTTCGTCAGTCAGGTTAGCATTCAATGCCATTCATTCAGTACTCATTGAACACAACAAACAAAAATCAAATCTTAATTGTGTACCGAAATAGTGCTCTCAAGTGAAACACAAATAACTAGTTTTATTTCCCAAATTTGTTGTATTATAATTGTATCGTTTATTATATTATATTATTTATGATGTATTTGTGTATTGTATGTGTGGTGTTGCGTACGGATGGCTCTGATCCACTAACTAACAGTTAGCGGCTAATGTGATCCTATTTGTGGCCACCAATCTATTGGGCACAATGTCTTTCTTCTTCTATGAGCGCCAACAGAGGCGAGCCTTTCTCGAGACGCGTCAAAGTCTTGAAGTGAAATTAGTTCTCGAGGAAGAATCACAGGAACAGGTTTGTCATGAATTCCTAATCTACTGTATATATTATCTATTCTCGAGACCCCATTACATGATTATATAACTCTAGTTATTCTTTCTCTCACTTCCCGTAAATAAATTATGTTATATTTTGCATATTTTATTCAATTCCTTCACTAATTAATGGACTTTTTGTGTTATTTTTTGTGCATAAATCTTGTTTAGGAGAGACTACTGCTGTCAGTACTACCGAAACATGTGGCCGCAGGTATACGGCAGGACTTGGGGACTGTAGTCGACGGACAGTTTCATAAAATACATATGAGGTATGGATTCCTAATAGAGAATAAAATTTTAAAATATTTATATGTAAATCCATTACATTTTCAAAATGAAATTTCTTGTGTGGTTTTAACATAACGTTTCAGTCGACACGAAAACGTGAGGTATTTTCGCAAATACTACTCAAATATAGTATTGATTTTTCTAATATATTTCCCAATCTTTTGTTGCATTCATTCGGAAATAAAGCATATTATTCGCGGATATCGTTGGGTTTACGGCCATATCGTCGACCTGTCCCGCACCAGAACTCGTCCGAACACTGAACGAACTCTTTGCCAGATTTGATAAGTTATCCGATGTAAGTGTTATTTCGAGTGCAATACAATTATTTTAATTTCTTATTCTGTGTTAACTTTTATATCAACATTTATTTTAATTGCTTCTCTTTTGCTCGCATTTGCGAATTAATTGAATTCTGGCAAAACCCTGCTCTCTCTCTCTCTCTCTCTCTCTCTCTCTGTTGGTGATTATCAGTGGAGGAATCGGTTTATTGCCATTCAATGAATACCATTGGTATTCACGTAAAGATAGGATAAACTCTCATTTAGTGAGAGTGTATGTTATGTGCTGTCCATTAGATCTGGTATCGACTCCGATCTCTCACACGATTACAAACACAGCCTCTTTCGCAGCAAACCTTGACATTTAACGTGTAATCTTAACTACCGGTACACAAAAACTATGAGTTCGTCATTATTTGAACCCAGAATCTAATTAAACCTCTAGGTGTTTAAATTGCTTCCTTTTAATCTAATTATATGTTTGTATTGATTAGAAGTAATTATTCATTTGCACATAAATGACATAAAAATAAATATTGATTAATATATCGATGCATTTGAATAACTAAATAATTTAATGTCATTTATAAATGCATTTCTCGTAGCATTTAATTCAATATTTAATGTTTGAAAGAATAAAACCATTATTTTTAATGTAATTATTATTGGATTCTCGATAATGTCAGGAATGTTATGAAAATATTTGTTTATATATTAATGAAATATTCTTATTCATCTCTCTCTCTCTCTCTCTCTCTCTCTCTGTTGGTGATTATCAGTGGAGGAATCGGTTTATTGCCATTCAATGAATACCATTGGTATTCACGTAAAGATAGGATAAACTCTCATTTAGTGAGAGTGTATGTTATGTGCTGTCCATTAGATGTGGTATCGACTCGACTCCGATCTCTCACACGATTACAAACACAGCCTCTTTCGCAGCAAACCTTGACATTTAACGTGTAATCTTAACTACCGGTACAAAAAAACTACGAGTTCGTCATTATTTGAACCCAGAATCTAATTAAACCTCTAGGTGTTTAAATTGCTTGCTTTTAATCTAATTATATGTTTGTATTGATTAGAAGTAATTATTCATTTGCACATAAATGCCATTAAAAATAAATATTAATTAATATATCGATGCATTTGAATACTAAATAATTTAATGTCATTTATAAATGCATTTCTCGTAGCGTTTAATTCAATATTTAATGTTTGAAAGAATAAAACCATTATTTTTAATGTAATTATTATTGGATTCTCGATAATGTCAGGAATGTTATGAAAATATTTGTTTATATATTAATGAAATATTCTTATTCTTCATGTTATATATTACATATACTAACCATTAGTTTTGATTATACATGAGAAATATTTCTGTATTTAAACTTCAAAATAAAAGTTATTTTCATATTTCATACCTTTTGAATAATATACTGAAACAATACACTAATACTGAATAATTTATTTTGATTTATATTTCCTGCGTCTATGAAATATATCAACTCTTTTCTGTTTTGTGCGCCAAAAATAGGGGTTTTGTTTAAACAGAGAGAAGAAGTGTTGCAGAAAACAATTCACAATCAGTTTATATGTTGTATTTCCACGAAAATGGTGTTGTTTTTTGTTTCAATTTTAAAATTCAATTTCTGTTTTTGTTGAACACTATTTTGAATTTCAAATACACAGCAAAATGTTTTCGCCTTATTTTTCGGTAGAATTACGATTAAATTGTGGACAAAACGGTTATTCTATGGCTCAGTAAATACTATGCAAATTCTGTGTGTTTTTCACTCGTCTATTATTTTGTGCTTCAGATAAATCAACAAAACATTTTTGTTACAGAATCTGAAATCTGTTTTTTTGTTCACTAATTTAAATATAGTTTTGAGTCAATTATACAAACGTTTTGTAATTATTTCTAATATGTTTGAAACGATTCTCTATTTAGCGTATGTTATCTTTTTATAAGTTGTATAAATTAATGCATTTTAATCTAAAGAATTGATTCGTCTCTCTCTCTCTCTCTCTCTCTCTAAGAATACAAGTAATGACTTCTATTCTTGGAGAGAGAGAGAGAGAGAAAAACTGATTGTGAATTGTTTTCTGCAACACTTCTTCTCTCTCTCTCTCTCTCTCTCTCTCTACACCATTATGTAATTGACTCGAAGGCTACGCTATAATGGCATCAATTATAGAATTTTTGACAATTTAATCTCAATTTTATTTTATAAAAATCATGCTTTTTTTGTTTAATTTATTCACGAAATCGTTTATATATTATTCATACTTATTGTTAAACTCAAGGAAAATAATTTCTTTCTTTATCTCAATTCCTTTCATTATTTTTGATACAAAATGCACTCTCTTTTAGTGAATATACTGTATATTGTATTCAATGAAAAGACAATTTTCCTATTTTTAATTTAAAGAATTTTCTCTGCCATCGGATCCATCATAAAAACTCGAGCCAAAAGTCTTACTTATAATTGATTTATATTTTTCATTTTTATAATAACATGATTTTTTAGGTTTGATTTATTGAATTTTTTGAACCAAACGATCACTTATTATGTGTTGAAAAAAGTAATAAATCACCAAAAAGGACATGAATATCAAGACAAATCATCAACGGCTCTGTCGATACCATTAATCGTTTTTTGTCTATAAATAGCCGTCAATACATTAATTGCAATTAGTATTTGTTTGCGACCAATAATATCTCAAATTGATATCAAATGCACAGACAGTAAGTATCGCATTAAATGTTTCATTTGCGCGAAGAATATCTGCTTTTCATTGTTTTTTGTATAAATATCTTTCGAAAACAATGAGAAATTGTTTTTGTTAAATATAATATAAATTAAATATAAATTCAATTTTTTATTTTATAAAAATAATAAATAGTTATATATTTTGATAAAATTTCTGTGCAATAAGTTATAAAATAAGTAAAGATACGAGACATTGATTTTATTGTGGGGTTCATTTATTTTGACATTAATTTAGCTGAATATAGCAATCAAAGCAATTCATACACTCTTTTTCTTCTGTCGTCTATTATTTATATGTATTTTGCTCTCTCTCTCTCTCTCTGACACAAACATAGATTCATTTATTATAACAAATATAGCACTAAATTAAAGGAAATTATTAGAACAAGA